AGTCAGAGGGAAGTTAACAGTCTGGGTGAAGAAACTGCTGTTTCACTTAGAGTTTGAGGATTTCTTTCAAACGTTCGTGATTGAGTTTGGGAGTGTGGGGTCAGGTCAGGAGGTTGCGTTAAAGGTCCCCTTTGGACAGCTCTGTGTGTGTGTGTTCGTGTGTTCGTTCTTTCAGTTGTCCGTAGACGTTATTCGCTCCTGTAGGAGGGGAGCTTGGGAGCCATTGCTTGATTAGCAGTCCTTCCTGTGTGGAAAATCGAATTTCTGGAACCGTCCCCTGTGTTGTAGATTTTTGCCGACGTACAGACTATGCGTGTTGGCCAGTGCTTGCCGCTAATTACCTTGAAAGCAGTGGAACGGAAACGCAGTGTCCGAAGAACCGTTAGTTTTTGAGCTCACTTCCGTGGAATTGTAGGAAAAGTGGGTCTAGACTTTCTATGGAAGTTGAAGCCTGGCAGTGCCCCCCTAGTTTACTTCTACACTTTATTTCCCCCCCTGTGCTTCAGCGTCATCTGTTTCAATGGTGCGCCTCTCCTCACCCCCTTTTGGTTACCAGTCACCTTCAGGCCGGTCAGAGGAGGGAAGAGTGGGGAACATGAAGTCAGCCAAGCCCCAGGTGAACCACAGTCAGCATGGGGAAAGCCAGCGGGCCCTGAGCCCCCTGCAGTCTGCTCTCGGTTCTGCTGCATCTCCAACCCAGGCCTATGAGACCTACATCGACAACGGGCTCATATGCCTTAAACACAAAATTAGAAACATCGAGAAAAAGAAGGTAACTTTTCCTCCCAGCCCCGTACCTGCATGTCCTTAAAGAAGGAGCGGATGATTTCTTTGTGAGGGTCATAGGTCTTCATTCTTAAAGCTTTAACTAAACCTAGGATGTAGGTGCCCGAGAACCATGAAAGCGGGCTATCCATGTAGTGCTAACATTTTGTTTCGTTTGTCAACTCAGCTGAGTGACAGCATTCTTCCTAGTAAAACCGGTATGTGTGCTGCTGTTGAAGTGCTTGAAAAGCTAGATGTTTTAGGACAGATGAATTCCTTGAGTATTGTATTAATGTTTCTTTTTGTAGATGAGTAATATAGGCTGACTTTTAAGCTTGTTTTCCCTGTGACTTTCTGCAGCAGCTGATGTTGCAGTGGAGCTGCTGCAGTCGTTGGAAGCTTTAACTTGGTAGGCCAGTAAATGTTTCAGCATTTTCACCTTGCGAGGTCTTGGCCTAAGATTGGTAGGTGAAAGTACCGTAGACAGCCTTATGAGGACACTCAGGGCTTACTATCAGCGAATGTTACAGTAAATGCTGATGTAAAGACCCAGATAACTGCTCATTTCCTGAGTCATGTGGCCTGTGAAATGCACCTACCTGTGCCTTACTTTGTTGTGTCATGATTCTCTTCTGCTTTGGACAGGTAGGGCTGAGCAGTTAACTGTCTAGACCAAGACCTAGTTAAACTTTAGGAGAGGTGCCAATCTTTCCTTGTCCCTTTGTTTTTTAAAAAAATGGGTACATTTTAGATATACATAATGGTAACCATTCATCATAGGGACAGGAAAGTTGCTTTTAATGGAGAAGTGTAAGAATGTCTTTAAGTATCTGATTGACTCCCCCTCCCCCTTCTAAAGCCAGGAAGGAAATGAAGAGGGGCCCGTTGCTAGTAGCTTCTCTGGGCCTCATCATTTGTCCTCTGAAAGCACACTGTGCCATGGGTCACAGTGTGGTAAGGGGAGTGTGCCTGGGTCAGCACAAATGCCCCCCTGCTAAGAGAGCTTGTCTGACCCGGTCTATGAATAGAGGTTCACGAATGGCTTCGCTTAGGTGGAGAAACCGCTGTCTAGCTTAACTGTAGTATCTCTTTAAATACCCTGATAGTACCAGTGAGTGTTTTTGTTTCAACTTCTGGGAAAGCATTTTAAGGCTAAAGCCAATATGGGAGGAGCCTGAAAAATGTTTGTAGACCAGTGTAGTGGGTTTGTGTCATTTTTTATGGAGCTGTTGAGTGCAATTTCTTTCTTTTTTTTTTTTTTGGTTTTCTTCCGGTACCAGGAATCAAACTCATGACCTTGCGCTTGCCAGACAGGCGCTGTGCTGCTGAGCTAAATCCCCAGCCCCTCCACACTGAGTATTTTCATATTCTAACAATAGTGGATCAGTGTGTGTCCTTTTAAGTCCTTCCCCCTTTGTTTTGGTACTAGCAGTTGAACTCAGGACCTTATGCTTGCCAAGCAGGTGCTGTGCCACTGAGCTAAATATCCGCCCCCTTCACCCTTATGAAACCTACATCAGAGAAATCCATACACGCTGACAGACACTCTCTTGGTGCCCAATTTTGGAAAACTTGTCTAAGTTTAATGTTGTTAAATAGTATGAAGAGCTTATGTTCTTTTTTTTTGTTTTTCTTTTTTGTCTTTTTGAGACAGGATCTCACTGTGTAGTTCATGCTGGCCTTGAACTCACTTTGTAGCCCAGGCTGGCCCCAAATGCACAATGATCCTCCTGCCTCAGTGTCCTGAGTGCTGGGATTATGGGCGTGAGCCACTATGCCCGGCTAGAGTTTATATTCTTGACAGTTCTGCTCTGGGTCCCCTGCTACCCCTAACTGGACTAGCTGTTTTTGGTTTGTTTTGAGATGGTCTTGCTATATAATCTAGGCTGGCCTCAAAAACACTATCTTCTCACTTCAGCCTTCCTGGTGGCTGTTTGAATTTTTTTGCGGAGGGAGACAGGGTCTTTCCATGTAGTTCAGGCTGGCCTCAAACTTGGTTCGTCCTGCTTCAGCCTCCCAAGTGCTGGGATTATATGCATGGGCCACCAAGCCCAGCTATTGTTTGAATACTTCTTTTTTTTTTTTTTTTTTGTCTTTTTGAGACAGGGTCTCACTATGCAGTTCAGGCTGGCCATGAGCTCACTTTGTAGCCCAGGCTGGTCTTGAACTCGCAAAGATCCTCCTGCCTCAGCCTCCCAAGTGCTGGGATTACAGGTGTGCGCCACCACACCCGGCTAATGTTTGAATACTTCTTATTGTTATACTGGGACATCAGCCCTCCAGGGATTCTGTTAGCCAAAAAGTTATTCTTGTGAGCCTCTTTGTTCAGAGCTGTTCCTAAGTGGTGAAAACTCAGCCACTGGACACATTTCTGTATCTGTAAAATGAGAGACTATGTTCTGTAAATCACAATAATCCAACTACCTCAGAGTTGTAAGAATAAATGAAAGGAATGTGCAGCCTCTGCTGCACTGCTCTGTCACCACCCACACCGACTGGTACTGTCACTCCTGTGTATATGGATACAGGGTTACCCTGTAACTTGTCCCTTGGGACCTGCTGCGAGCTGGGTGAGATAGTTGAAGGACCAGCATTGGAGCAGCCTAGCCTTGGTGCCTTGCACTTGGAGATTACAGTCTGCACCTGGAGCTCATGCAGTGGTGACAAACTCCTGGAGCCCAGTGTCAGCCTGGTCATGGTTCTGTTGCCGCACTTGCTGCCTCGGGAGCAAAGTAGGTCTGCTCAGAAAGGCCGGTGCCCACACCAGGCGCAGAGCAGGCTGACCTTAGTCTGAGTGTTTTCTCTTTGAGTAGAACATGTTACAGTTGCTGCCTGCCTATATGTGTAATAAAGTGTTATCCTTGCATATTGATGGCTTTCAGATCTGTTTGCAGAGGGAACAATGTTTGATATTTAGTTTATTTGCTTCAGAATTTTATATTAGACTATAGTAGATACAAGTTTCTGTTTTGTAGCTCAAACTGGAAGATTACAGGGATCGCCTGAAAAATGGAGAGCAGCTTAATCCAGATCAGCTGGTAAGTGGCTTATGGTCTTTGTCAGACTGACTTCTTTCCTTAGTAGCGTTCTACTGGGGTACAGTGAGAGCGGGTCTCAAAGGATTAGAATCCAGTAGTCTGTTCACTCCTGTAGGTTTGGATTTATTTCTGTGGCACTGGCAAATGGTATGGATGAGGGTATAGATTAAGTAGGAGTGAAAATACAGACTGAATTAGCATAGAGGTTAAGTTGCTGGGGTGGATGGAAGAGGAAGAGGTTTGAGGGAATAGTCTAAACCTGACATCTTTCTGCTCTGAAACGTAGAGGTATTTACTGTAGTCTTCTCAGTTTCTCCAGCTGCTTCCTTTTAATCTTTCTTTCTTTCATACTGGGGATTGAATCCAGGGCCTTTGGACTGAAATCCCCCCCTTTTTAAAATTTGAGGTCTGGGGAAATAGCTCAGTGGCACAGTGCCTGCCTGGCACGTGCAAGGTCCTGAATTCGATTCCTGGTACCCCCCCCAAAAAAAAATTTGAGATAGGCTCTCACTAAATTGCCCACACCAGGCTTGAACATGTGATCCTTCTGCTTCAGCCTTCCGTGTGCCACGACAGCTGGCTCTTAATTTCTTCTGTGGTTTTCCACTAGTTTTTTATCCTAGATTGTCCTGCCTTGGTCTTAAAAAATTAATCTTACTGTAAGTGTTAGACCATTTATTTACATCGTTTAACTTGCCCATGGTATGCTTGCTGGTGGCAACTTTAATTCGCGAGATTTTGAGACATGGCATGAGAGTCAATGTTTCATTGATGTTTGCTGTTTGATTCTCTTCCTGCCTCAGCCTCCCACAAACTGTGGTTTTGTTTGTCTCCCTTACAATGTAAATGTTATGAGAATAGGGATTTTGTTTATCACTGCTGTTTTCTTCGTGGTTAGAGTAATATATAGCATATTGGTAGGCATATAAAATGTTTGTTATGGATTTACTATATGTAAATGATTGAGTTAGTTGGTCTTTAGATGTGACTGACTATATAGTTCGTGGTACTTTTGAGAACTACATCCCTTCATACAAACAGTATAGATTTAAAATAGAAAAAATTTTAAAAGCTAAGTCAGTAAAAAACAAAATATGTCAGCTGGTCCTTCAGAGAACTATTGGCAGTAGTATTTAATTAAAAAGTTCTGAGTTCTTAGGAGCAGTGAGGAGAACAGTGTTTATCAGAGGCCAGGAAGGAGGAGGATGAAGGGAAGAGAGGTGTAATTCTACAGCACAGTAGGTTGACAGCAGTTAATTGTATATTTCACAACAGCTACCGGCAGTAGAGACGATTTTGACTGTTGTGATGCAAGGAAATAATGAATGTTTGAGGTATGCATGTGTCATTTACCCTGATGTGACCATGACAGATTGTGTGCATGTACTAAAATACCCCTCTGAACCTTGTACTCTGTAGAATTTTCTGTCAGTAAAAAAGCTCTGAGTTTACTTTTTAAAGTTGGTAATAATACTTTGCCAGGCATGGTCATGGTGGTGCACACCTGTAATCCCAGCACTTGGGAGGCTGAGGCAGGAGGAGCACCACAATTTTGAGCCAGTTTGCACTGTGTAGAGAGACCCTGTCTCAAAAAAAAAGTTGGTAATAATTTACATAGTTCAGACTCAGGAAATATTTAAAAAGATGTAGTTTTTTTTTATTCTTGTCCTTTTGTTCAGTCTCATTGTACTATACATGGGGTGATCAAAATATACTATAAATGTTTAAATAAAATTTTATTACAGTTAGCTGGGTATGGGGGCACATGCCTGTAATCCCAGCACTCAGGAGGCTAAGGCAGGAGGATCACTGTGAGTTTGAGGCTAACCTGAACTATGTAGTGAGACCATGTCTCAAAAAACAAAACAAAACAAAAATTTATTTCATTACATTATCACTATCAGAATACTTCCCCCTGCTCCAAACACTTACTTCATTGTTCTTGCCACTTTCTGAAGTAGTTCTGAGAACTCTTTTGTGCATGTCCTTGAGATATGATCGAAATTATGGTGAAGCCTGCTGCCGAGTGCCATCCAGCTGAAAAGCATGCTCATACACATGTTGCAGTGTGTCTTTCTCACTTTATTCACCAGATCTGGTACCAGGTGACTTCTGGCTCTTTGTCAAAGTTGTCTTCTTTTTTCTTTTTTTTTGTGGGGGGAGGGGCACTGGGAATCATACTCAGCCTGGCGTTTGTCAGGCACGTGCTGTGCAGCTGAGCTACATTCGTAGCCCATAGTCAAAATTTTAGACCACGAAACATTTTGAATTGATTGAGGACTTTGAGGCAGCCACAACAGTACAATTAAAGACACTTGTGAAAGGACTTCCAGAATTGCTTCAGAAAGTGGCAAGAAGAATGAGATATACGTGCAAAGAGAGGTGGAGAGGATTAATGGCAATGTGTATTCTACTGTA